ATATATATATATATATATATCTTTTCTTTCTTTCTTTTTTCTTCATTTTTCAAGACAGATATTTACATCACATGTAATGAGAGCCGTTCTTAGATTTTTGCTATTCATCCTCCTTAGGAACCACCTAATGGTAGTTGCACGAGTTGAAACAAGCAAACATGTATTTTCTCGCTCAGCTGTTCGAATGTGGCTGCGTCTCCTAGAAAGGCCAAGACTTCCGGGATAAAAGCAGCGAAAACTATGATCAGATTTTTAGCACAAGATAAGAGACATTCAGGATAACCTAAACGAATCACCAAGTATTGACTTCGTATTTCCATAGACGCTCACACACACACACACACACACACTCACACACACACACACACACACACACACACACCACACACACACACACACACACACCACACACACCACACACACACACACACACACACACACGCACACACACACACACACACACACACACACACACACACACAACACACACACACACACACACACAACACACACACACACACACACAAATATGATGAGGCATCTATACATTATATTATGAAGAGTGCAATGTAGCATAGTTTCTGTTTATCAAATAATTGGTTGGTTCTGGTGCGTGTGCGTGTGTGCGTGTGTGCGTGATTGCACACTTGCGCTTCGCTCGGTCGCGTTTAAATAATGAAAAAAAGAAAGATATAGAAAGAGAGAAGATAGAGAGAGAGAGAGAGAGAGAGAGAGAGAGAGAGAGAGAGAGAGAGAGAGAGAGAGAGAGAGAGAGAGAGAGAGGAGAGAGAGAGAGAGAGAGAGAGAGAGAGTGGAAATTGCTGTATATTGTATGAAAAAAATAGCCTATCAGTAAGCGATAAGAACGTGTTTTGGAATGAATAAGTATCACTGGTAATGAAAGACGATTGCTTGTTATAATCACGTTATTGAAACATTCGAAAAGTAAACGTTTGAGTTGTGTACTGCTTGTAAATCATATAATATCAATCCCCAGATTTTCCTACGTGTAATTTTTTTTATGACTGACAATCCATAACCGATCATCAAAACTAGAGTCGACTTCTATCGAGCAATTAATGGCTAATTCTAGATCGTGGCTCCACAATGTCTATACTTTCTTTTCAAAAAAAAAAAAAAAAAAAAAAAAAACACACACACACACACACACACACACACACACACACACACACACACACACACACACACACACACATATATATATATATATATATATATATATATATATATATATATATAATATTCCCACTGTGACATTTCAAATCGACCATATTGAAGAAAAATTTAAAATGTCCCAATAGATCGGTCTCTATGTTTGAGTGGTCAAAGACCACTCTTTTCGCTCCCCCCCCCCCCCACCCTTTCCCCTCTAAAAGCGTACACCTGAAAATGTTGATGCCAGACGTGCCCCTTCAGCAGACAGGGTAGTCCTGTGAAAATATTCCGGATAGCTAAAAGTTTGATAGATAGGGGATCATTTTCATAATTAGGAGCCATTTTTAAGCATCATCAGGATAATTTCCATTTGGAATAAGTATCAGAACCAGGTAAGTCTGAGAAATATTTCACACCAACTGCTCAGTATAATAACTTTTAACATGAATGAATTTATTCATTTATTGACCTATAAAATCAAGAATACATAGGGTCAAGAAGGCGAGATTAGATCGGGAAAGCCGTTTTCAGCCACAGATACTTAGCACCCGATATGATCTGACATTTACATTTCTATAGAATTTAAAAATCGTGCGAGCGGGGTTAACCACCTCCCCTAGCGTGAGTTGGAAATTTTTTAGCCCAATCTATGTAAGGTTCCTTTTTCCTTATCCAGCTTTACCAGTCAATCCATAGATCGACTGAATAAAAATAATGAATAAATAAACAAATGCACACACACACAGAGAGAGAGAGAGAGAGATAGAGAGAGAGAGAGAGAGAGAGAGAGAGAGAGAGAGAGAGAGAGAGAGAGAGAGAGAGAGAGAGAGAGAGAGAGAGAGAGAGAGAGAGAGAGAGAGAGAGAGAGAGACTTTCTACGTCATACCTGAGAAGCAGGCTTAATGCAAGCACGGAGTAGGAATTTTACAAGCACTACGAACAGTCCATCAGGTACGAGCCATCGAAGTAAGCTTTCACATGGCATATCTCCACGCCGAGCATACTATCTTGGATACGTTTCCTCTCCTTCGCTTTGAGGTCAACGGCGCTCGGATGCACAGTTACCGAGACTTTGCATGCCGCGGTAAGTCTTCCCGCGTCTGGGTTCTGGCCGCCCGTGGAATACGTCACTGAGTCCGTCTGTTTGTATTTAACGGTGCCCTTTATCCCTCGTGCTATTGTAGGTAAATATGTTTTCCTCCTTCTTTATGATACGGATATAGCGGAGGGCGCGAGGGAATTTCCTTCATTACTGAATTCTAGATTCTAGTGTTGTTCATATCAGTTGACTCATCATAATTTAGTGGCCTTTGTTTTGTTTCAGTTTTTGTAGTAATAAGGGCATTGGTGTGGTTGTATTCACCATTACAGCTTCTCAAGGCGTTCTATAAAATCTGGACTCTTCTCAGATTCAAGTGAGCATAGCGATACAAATCTAGCATCACAAATATACCGAAAAAAAAGAAAAAAGGAAGTAGCCAGGTGATTTGAGATCTTCCTTCCTCCACTCGATCGGTGTAAAAGATTTTGGGCAATTACTTTCAGTTCCTTGTCCTGCGTATTCATTTTCAAGTGAATATGGGGCACACCTGGAGCTCCACTAATGAATAATCACGATCTGTGCAAAAAATGTCGCATTTTTTCGTGAATATAAAACTGAAACGATCCTTATTTTGTACAGCATCGTCACTAGGCAAGAAAAAACAAACTTTTCCATCGCGAGAGAACACACACAGACATAAAAAAAACACATACACACAAACACACTATCACTCACACTCACGCACTCGTACACACACACTTATCTACACAGATGTAAATATCTGCAAATGTATATCTACATATATGTATATATGTATATATAGATGTGTACACACACACACACACACACACACACACACACACACACACACACACACACACACACACACACACACATATATATATATATATATATATATATATATATATACATATATATATATATATATATATATATTATATGTAAATGTATATATATATATATATATATATATATATATATATATATATATATATATATACATATATATATATATATATATATATATATATATATATATATATATAATATATATATAAATATATAAATATATATATATATATATACATATACATATATACATATATACATTACATATACATATATACATATTATACATATATACATATATACATATATATATATATATTATATATATATTAATATATTATATATATATATATATATATATATATATATTATATATATATATATATATATATATATATATATATATATATATATATATATATATATATATATATACATATATATACATATATATGCATATATATGCATGTATGAAAGATGAAATAATGCACTGGGCGCTTTGATATCAAGAATATATTAACCTCCCCGATCGGGATTCGATCCTCACCGCCGTTGCAAACTCCTTTTAAGTGGGTGTTGGCCTAGGAGGATAGAGTGACCGTCTTGCATTCCCTTGCAATGGCGGTTAGGGATCGAATCCCGATCAGTGAGGTTAATATATTCATATATATATATATATATATATAATATATATATTATATAATATATTAATATATATATATATATATATATGTATGTATGTATAATATATAAATATATATATATACATATATATGTATAAATGTGTATAAATATATGTATAAATATATTTATATTTTTATGCATACATATATATGTATGTGTATGTATGTATTTATATACATATATATATATACACACACATAATTGGTTTGTTCTATATATACATATGTATATATATGTATGTATATATGCAACGAACTCCCTTGCCTCTTCAGACCCGAAGATGGAATCGAGGACGATTCCGAAACTGTTGTCTCACTTTCATCAATAAATCTAGTTTGTACATTGTGGGTTTTTCTTCCATGTATGTATATATATATGTATATAGTATATATATATATATATATATATATATATATATATATATATATATATATATATATATATATATATATACATATTAGATCTAATGAAGAAAATGAGACAACAGTTTCGGAATTTACCTGCTGTGACATAGGTTTGAGTCCTGGTCGGGGAGGGTAAGATATCTTATCGATACGGCAGTGGAATATTACATCATTAATAAATACACCATCAGTCCATCGAGTGCCCATGGGGTGTGTCCGTGCAAAATTACTCATTTATGAGTAGATAGGTCATGTTTATGGAAGATATTTAGCTCCTAGTTGCACATTCCTTTTAATGAGTTAGGAGGTACAATTGGTTAAGCATCTGTCTTGCAGCTTCATACCTTCAATGACACAGGTTTGAGTCCTGGTTGGGGTGGCTAAGTTATTTATTCATATATATATATGTATGTATGCAAACACACGCACGCACGCACGCACACACACACACACACACACACACACACACACACACACACACACACACACACACACACACACACACACACACACACACACACACACACACACACACACACACACACACACACACATATATATATATATATAGCTGGCTGCACTCATTTCTGTTGTTACTGTGCAGTTCTCCTTTTCATATTTATTGTCTGTAAATTGTTGCAGTGCATATTTTCCACGCAGCGAGAATCGGCGAAGGTCAAATGATTTTTGCAGACCTAATAGATTTATCAATTAAACTGAACCATACTGTGTGTTTGTGTGTGTATAAGTGTGTTTGCATATGCATGTGTTCAACTGCTTTCTTGAGTATAAAGTATATTTCAAAAAGGATAATGATAAACCTCTTCTGTTGTAAATAATATCATCAATAATATATGAATACACAATTCTTTAAAAATGAGTTATCAAATAATATAAAGTAACAATAAAAATTGACAAGTGACAGGTACATCAGGTGTGGGTGCTACATGAAAATTACCCTGGAGGCAGTTTTGTATGCCATATCATAATCACATGAACATTTCATATGTTAGAAGTAGAGAGATGAAGTGTTTAATACAAAATAAAATCATAAAAATGAATGGACATGATATCTATTTTATAGCATGTATGAAAGGTGAAATGAATCTTACTAGTACTAAAAAATGAATCTTACTAGTACTAAAGATGAAAGTGAAGGCATGAGACCCAAGAAGATATAGTCCCTTCCATCCAGCATTGCTAGTAAGGAAATTGTCCCTTTTGACTCTTGTCTATGAAACACATGTTTAATACAATTAGAAGTATGTTTTGGATCCGAGAGTTGGAAATAGTGGTTTACATATTGGCAACACTGAATGGTAAACATGGAAGTATACAAGACTGTATATTACAATATCTGACTTGTGTCTGCCAAAGTTAAGTGTATACAATTGTGGATTTGAATTGTTTTTCTTTTAATGAGGAGGTGCTAATAACGCAAAGGATGATAACAGTGATAGATAACAAATAAAATGGGTAGATCTAGTTTTCCATCGCGAATTTTGTATGCTTATAGTTGGTAAACTAAGGACTGAGCAAGATTGTGAAACTCGGTGAAACAGTTTTTGCTTGTACTTTACAACTATAGCATGGCACTTCTGAACGCTATCATGAACTGCTTCACTTGTGTGAACAGTGCCAGTGTGATAAAACATTGTATTTTATGGCTAATGACAGATTATATCCGACATAGTTAGTATGGAGATTATTCTTACATTTATGTAGCCACCCAGTAAGGAACAATCTTGTGAGTATTTCACTTAATGGACGGAATACTTATACAAGCCTCTTTATAGCTAAAGACAGCTGTGATTCTGAAGATCGTCTACTGATATATTACAATATTTTTTGCTCTTTTAGATATCAAAATCACATTTTAGGTGCCAATCTGCTGTTACAGGGGTGAGCTTGAGCTTGAGCTTAAGCTTGAGCTTAATCTGTACAAAAGGGACATCTGATTGTTTTCATAAACAATGATATTTAGGTAGGATGTCATCAAAATTCAATAAATGTTCACTATATACTGCAAATTACTGATATACCCAAACTACCAATTAATATGTCCTTGCCTTGTGGCAGTAATGGTGGGTGTTATGATTCAATGCCTTGCTAAACCACTAAGGCATAGTAGTTGTGGTAAGTGATATATATATACCCCAGCCTTGGGTGGATATCTCACTGGCAAGACCAGGCGCCTAAAGGTCCCGTTTTTCCTTGAAAAGGCATCTCTCATAAGAGTTGTTTAAAAAAAGAGTTGATAATTCTTTTGTTCCTAGAAATAGGAGAAAAAGGGATGATTCTAACCAGGGAGCATTTTTTTCTATTCGATCTCATATATCCAGAAGGGATTTTAAAACTCCCAAGTAATTACAGTAACATGATGCAAATTGGAAAAGAGATGCTGTTATTTCATCCCACAATGGCATTCACCTACAACCAAGTAAGGCATAAACTACTCAAAGAAATCCGTGATTGGATTCATCTTTGATTTGTGAATTATGTTTTTCAGCCAGTGGCACTTACTGTCAAAGTTATAACATCAGCTTGAAAAAAAAAAAAAATTATAACATGAAAGTGTGAACTGGGAGCAACAAAATTATCTTGATGGTCCTTTTAAGATAATTCCTTACAGCTTAAAAAGGCATGTGCAAATACTCTTTATCACATACTGTATATATAGCATGATTGTGCTTGCAAGACCTATCTATATCTATGCTGAACTGAATTCATCAATCCATCTCTAGTTCTTCCATTATCTGATCTGTGAAGTCAGTTGGATTCTTTTTATATTGGTATGCAGCACTAATGGCATCTTTGAATAACTGTAAAGGAAAAAAGGGAAACATCTTGACATTTATCAGATATATTTTGTAGAGATATAACTTATGAGATGTTATCTATCTTCTCAACTTCTTTCTGCAGTTCATTTTTATTACTATTAATCACATTCAATTATTCTAATTTATTTTGATGAACGACAAAACACACTACTGAGTTGATACATTGGCAGAGAAACCCACTATATATAGAATATTTTTGCCTAAAGGCAGGACTCTGTTTCAGCTTTCAAAGTCTTTTTTATGAAATTAAAAAATCTCTTTTTATGCAGTTAAATTATTAATATGGATTTATCTTGATATTTCTATATGCACCAAATTGTCACAACACAAGTTTAATGCACAGAATAACTTACCTTGACAACATTGGTTCCATTTGATGCTGAAACATAGTACATGGGGATATTGTTCTTCTCTGGGAAAGCGAAACTCTTCCCAGCGATGTCCTCATTTTCTGGAAGAAAGTATACTATTAAGCAACATGGTCTTATTTCAAGTGCATGCCTACACATCTGCTCTTCACTCATGGTTATGTCAAGATAATGGTCAATAATAATTTTCCTTACCATGGTCTCTCTGCACCTATCCTCTCCTAATCTTATTTTAACTTTTCATTTCAAACCTATCAAGTTTAGCTTCTATCATTTTCTTATTACTGACTATGAGCCCCTATGATCTGGATGACATGACCATCATGTCATGAAAAAAATTGGCTTGAAGGCATGGTGACATGAGTATTTTGGCTGAAGGCTAGGGTGATAGGAAAGATTCTTAGAGGATGATTAGATTCATATGTCATTGAGAAAGGGACTTTTGCATTATTTCCATTGATAAATGAGTGTGGAATGTATTGTCTGTCAGCCATGACTGAAAGAGTATCAGCTCCAGGGAAGGCTACCTAGAGAACTGATATAGAGTCTGTGCAAGGAGAACAGTCAACTATCTTCTGGATAAAGCAAATCAAATGACAAACATAGACAGTAAAAAAATGGCAAAAACACTAAAAATTCTTATACATAAAAAGAGAAAATAACACTGCCAAGGGCAGGCACTGAATTCTGTCACCTACAAGCTGCTCACCCATCAGAGTGGATGCTACTGTAAGCCTAATGCCAGTATATTGGGCCATGTGATTACCATGAAGCAGCCGGATCCAAGGGGTTAATGAATTCAATAAACAACCTTTAATATCTTCCAATAATCTTAAAATGAAAACAAGGACAGAGACAAAATAAGACAATTATTTCTGTTCCTATACATTCTCTGCACATTAAATATAAAATATAAACACCAAGTGTACACTGACATTCCCATATTACACGACTTCATTCATTGTGATCCCTAGTATTCCTGTTTTCTTTATCTGATTTCCATGAGCTCCCTTTAAAACCTCTGGATATGAGTTTTGTCTCTGTAGAGTCTTCATCAGTTTATCAAATATAAAAGCATATGCAATTTATATACATGAAGCACAGATCCAAATAAATCTTTTTGATATAGCAATTGCAAGATGAAAAAATGACATTAGAATGATTTAATGAAAACAATATGTATGAACTGTATATTGCAAAAATTACTGGTGTGTACATGGTGGTTTGATTACAATCTTATTCACTAATAGATAAATACCACAAAATGCAGATGCTGCACAGTCATTATCTAGTCACTTTCCTAAATAATTCAACATGAATTCTACAAATATTCTAATACATAAATCTGCCCCAAAATCACCACATAATACTTTAGAGAAATTACACTTGAAGTTCCACATGTAAACATCATAACTTGTCAGTAATTAATAAAGAAAGTAAATCTATTTTCCTCAGTCAATACTGTCACTTTAGAGCACTGATCTTTTTCAAAAGCATTTTCACCGGTTTCACTGACTGGCTTAGATTCTATTTTCTCAAAGCATAACCACTACTTATTAAAAATTTATCAATCAAAAAGACAAAGATAAATAGAAAGAAAAAACATAGAGATTATACATATATTTTAACAAGGAATAAAACAGCATGTATGCAAAATCCAAAGTGGAACAGCTTACTAAAAAACACAAGAGATGGGACTTACCATCAATTTTATTTACAGCACAGAAACATGGTATTTCGGGTCTGTAGTGACGGAGTTCTTTGTACCAATTCGCAAGATTTTTATATGTGACTTTTCGCGTTCCATCAAATACCAGGATTGCAGCGTGAGCCTAGAAGAAAAAACAGATTATTATTATTATGGGATTTAGAATATTTATAAAGGATTCTCTGTTATGGTTGAATTGGCAGCCCTAGTCCTGAGAAACATTTCTAAGGTAACCAAGCATTTTATATTGTCAATTACATCCATACTACAGAATGTGCTTAACACAATTGGACTTGGGTGAGATAACCATCATTTCACGCAAATATTTGGCTGAAGGCCTGGGTGATGTTTCAATGCTGGGGTAACAAGAATGACTTGGCATTGAGCTCTTGAAGGAAGAGTCCACTCAGTGGGCATTTAGGAAGGGGCTTTTACATTATATTCACCGATAAATGAGGGTGGAATATACCATCTTTTATCCATAGCTGGAAGACAACTGGTTCCAGGGAGGACACTCTTTCCTAGGCTACCTGCCAGTCAGGCACAGGGTTTGTTACAGAAAATTGAATATCACAGAAATACAAAAAACATGACACTAACTACAAGTTATTTTCTTTATTGTTTTTGCATAAAGTTGTAGACTACTTAGATATCTCACATGAGTCTGTGCAAGGAAAGCAGTCTGTTAATTTCTTAATACAGCATATCAAATGACATATGTAGAACTTAGAAATAGCAAAATAGAAAAAATTATCTTATAAGTAAAAAGAGATCACAGCATTGCAAAGGGAAGGCAAAGAGTCTTGATACCCCACATTGATGTTCATGTGAGCCAGGTCTACAAGCCACATTTCCAGGAGAGTTGCCACTCATGAAAACCTAATGGCCAGATTTTGGGTTGCATGTGTGATGCAAGGCACCTGGATCCAACAGTTTAAACATTATGTTAAGACTACCTAATGTTTTTAATGTATACTGTATGCCTCAATAGACTCGACTGTACCTTTAAGATTTACTGGAGCTCTGAGCACATTCATCCAATCCACAATGTATACATCTGCTCTATCCTGATACTTATAACTCAGGGCCCCAAACTTTGCAAATACAAAACCTGCAACTATTTGAAATATTAAAAAGAACCGACAAAAATTCAGTACTCACCTAATCCTAGCTGACACAAGATAGAATGACAATATTTCTTTTGCATTTGTTTCATTACATGCTGTATTTAAGGCTAACAACGTCAACTGTTACATTGAGGCATGACTTTATTATCAATTATAAGACTCGGTGACCAGCAATAACAAAAACTGAGAAGAGACGGTAGCATTTGGAGAAGGTGCACAGCCTTAGTCATGGCCTACACTGGTGTTCCTTGATTTTGTTTCTTTTATTGATACCTAAGTGAAGTTATTCACTTCAAAGGGAAGTAATCTTTAATTATCATCTGTTCTTCAGAAAGCCTATGTTTATATCTTTGTGAAAGCCAAATTAAAAGGAGAAACAGTTGCAAATCTTTTATTTCCATAAAACCCTCCTGTTATAATTGTTTAATTTCTTTGTAATTCCTCATTGCTCAGAAGTTGAGAAAAATAAATTTGTAACTTAGTCTGCCATTTGTTCTCATGAAGACAGCTGCTGTATTGACTTTTAAGTCAATACCTTGACACCTGTTAAGTTTTGGGTCTGATGACACCTGTCAAGGTATGTTTAACCCCGTTTGTGTCCGGCTTGTTTGATAGTTTGTGAGTGACATTCGGCAACTAAAAGCTTTTGTTTTGCTATAATCATTAATAATATAAAAAAAATTGAAGGTTTGCATTCACTCTAGGTGCTATTGCCTAAAAGCTCTAGCAGAGAAAGGAAGCTGTTAATGATTCTATTATGGGTCCAGACAATAGTTATCAAATCATACCTGAGAGCAGAGGAGACTTGTGTGCTGTGTTGCTGTATTAGACTAATGTTTCTCTTTAGTAACTCGTAATAAGAATTATAATACCAGAACTACCCTACTGTTCACCAATTGATCTAGTCTGAAATGACAAACACAGACAGCACTAAAAATGACAACAAAAGTGAGACTGTGCTTGATTGCAATTATGTGATTGACTCACACACATTATGTGAACTGATTGAGTAAGATTTTATGTAAGTAGCTGTCATTTCAAAATAGAAAATCTTTCTGCCTACTTCATTCCCTAAAATACGGGCTCCAAGCACTATCAATGCATCTCCTCCCCACCACAGCAGCAACAATGAAAGCAGTTTTAACTCCAAACTAGACTCTATGCCACAACAAAGCTACATGTGCAGAACTCTAATATGTCTGTGCTAGTGTGGCTGCCTTGAGCTATGTTACTCAACTATAAACACAGGTCATCACAGCTCATTATATCAAAATTACCACAAGGGAAACCATAAAATAAGTTTCTCAGGTGTAGGGTTACCAAACAAACTAAGTAAAGCTGGCACAGCCTTCTGGAACTGCATCAGTCAACTGAGTATAATCATATTTCATTCAAAATTGAAAAAACATTTTTGAATCTTATATCAAAGGTCAAAAGAAAAAAATATCTCAAAATACAATAAAGTATAGAAACCTGATGATAGTATGATGCATGCATTGTCTGAAATCTTTCTTGCCCTGCTGTGTCCCAGAAATCTGGAAAGTGAGAGTTTTCATTAGGCTACTAGTGACAAAATGGGAAAATTATTACAATATTTATGAGGAAGAAAAAAATGATTACACAGATTTTTTCCAATGCTATGAAACAAAATAGAAAAACAATGGAGGTGGCATCTTTCAATCATAAGTAACTTGCCACAATCAAGGTGTTTCAATTTAGCATTGTTCTAATTATAAAACAACAATGACTTCCTTCATCTTAAGAATCTAACTTTAAAAAATTCCAAAATTTAAAAAAAAGTCCTTTTCCCCTTACATCTGGTAACACCTATCCAACAAAGTCATTTTATTGAAGAGTAATGATACCCTGAATTGCAAAACTGAGTGCAACATGAAGATGATTCTTTTTCGAGTAAAGTAACATTTTGAAGTTATTGCAAAAGCTGGCAGCTCAGGTGCCAGCAATGTTGGGGAGATTATTGCTTTTGGCCATTTCTGTACCCTATAAATGTTAATACACAGTAAAATTTAGAAATAAAACAAGTTGAAAAGCTTCAGAGGTACTTTGTGACACATTTAAACTCACAAGAAAAAAATAATAATTTGCTCCATACAAAACAGGATGAATATATTGCCACTTTTAAGGTCGTCTAGTCATGAATTTCTTTTTTTCTTATTTGAGACAAAAACAAAATAAAATGGTATAGTACTTTTCAGGCATTACATTACTTAACCTTATACTTATTCACTTATTATGGATAATCAATACATGAACAAACTTACCCACAAGAACGTCTTTATTTTCCAGTTTGGTGCGATATCTGTATAGTGTCAGAGCAAATGTTGACAACTGCTGGTGTTGATAGCCGTCCATCAAAAACCTTTCCACAAGCCTGAAATCAAAAGAAAATGTAATGCAGGGGTAAAAATGAGTTAACAATGAAGTAAATCAGAGATTAGTAAATGAAAGGGTTAAGGGTATAGGGCGACTGGATGAAATGGAGTGTATCTGTGGCTAGGGAAGCAATAGGAACACTGCTTAAAGAAAACTGGCAAAAGAGCTATTATGAAACAGTCAACAAGTAATGCGGGTATAGATGGCTATAGGAGTAGTAGTGGGAGAAGAATCCAGGGAATGAGATAAGGGGATTGGGGAAGGTGTTTTAGGAAGAATGTCAGGAGGGGAAGGATCAGGAGAATGACATTGTTGCAACAGAAGGGATTCATGTGAGCATCCAGATGGAAGAGTTAAGGATAATCAGGAATGAATAGGAAATGGTGCACATGGAGAAAGAGAGGATGGGGTGTGTTGGGAAAGAGTGAGAGGAAGAGGGGTTGGGGGTACTTTGAATGCAGAGGAAAGAGGAGCAGAGGAATTGGAGGGTAGATGTGGGAGCAAAACATACTCTTGGGTCATGTCTAGGAATTTGGGGAGGTCTTCAAGAGTTTCTGGAGGGGAGTTGGGTGGGGAGGTCTGAGAAACAAACCTTCTCTTGTGAGGAGAAGATGGGATAGATATTCAAGGACCATAGGAAGAGGAGGGTGTAGGAGAGGATGTGATAGGCAAAGATGGAGTGGAACGTTTAGATTGCCTGGTGCAACAAGTAAAGTGAGAAGGTGGGGTAGGCATTAGAGAAGTGGTAGAGATTAGAGTATCTGGATTTAGAGTGGAAAAGGAATTTGACAGGGGGAGAGGGGGAACAGAGGTAGGATGGTTCAGGGTAGAGGGAAGAGATACTGGGTATACTGTGCCCATGGCTCCCAGGAGCTGTTCATGACTGATGCAAAGCCAGCTTTTCATCATTTCAGCAAGGCTTTCACACCTTAGGAAGTGAACAGAAGAAGACACAGAAAAGGAAAGGGGGAGAACAGAAGAATATGCAAAATTACTTGAGGCAAGAGCTGAGGTCTAAGGTATGGGTAATCACCCCAATTGGTCCCCAGTCTCTGTCTCCTAGACCCCCCAACAACTACAACAATCAATGGATTGGGGGGGTATTGTAATAGTAATAAAGTGTCTTTACCAATACATTTGTATTTATATTCATAACATCTGCTTGAATTACAACGGATTTCCATTGATACATATCTTTTTCTTTGCATAAAACCAAATGTTCCAAAACACAATCCATTCATTTATCCATTGGTTGCAGTTGGCATGACATACATGACAATCAGTGCATTTTAAGTTTATCGACCCATTGCATCCAAGAGCTTCAATGCCCAGGCAATAGGCTCACTTGAAGTGCTCATAGCCACACATCCTTGCCACATGAGTTGCTATGCAATTTATTGGGGTTTCCAAATGTTCATATTGTACTTTCTTATTATTTCCACTTTATGTAGTTAGTAAAATTACTATGAATTTAATGATACCAAACTTGATTGCCTGAAATTAACATTTCAGAACTTTCCAGAATATCCTGTGGTGATTCTGTTAGAATAGAAATTATTAGGGGTATACTGCATACAGGTCTTTTTTGGTTACAGGTAAGCAAAATAATAAGACACTTTTATCTATGGTATTTCCTTCACAAGTTGGTAATGAAAAAGCTGTGCAGTGCATAATACCTTGGTGTACATTGAAGACCTCATCACACTTGTACTTTTTCTGTCAATTCTTATATTTCTTCACAAATTTGCAGCTTTCCTCGTGTATAGCATGCAGCTGGAACACCTCCCAGATGAAGATGGTAACATCTATTTTTGTCTGACTAATTTCTGTCTTGATCTTGTCTCTGGAGGATCTATACAGCTGCAATGCTTTATTGATAAATAAAATAAATCAATGTAAACATAGGCTAATTCTATATACAATATGGTAGTCTCTATATTTCTTTAAAATAATTTGATATTTCTGACAATGCTTGTGTGATTCCCAGGACTTCACACAGATAGACTGTGTTGTGTTCCATGGGCATTACATTTGCTACCTTGGTAGCAGTAGCCATTTGACAGTGTGATAAGGTCAGACCATTTACATGTAAAAAGTTCATATAGAAATGCAAAAACTGACATAAAAAGTTCTAGTGTTACAGACCCTTTATACAATCACTGCACTATAATAAGAGAAACCTAATGACACTTTCATAAAGAAAAGGAAAAGATATACTTCCTGATATGTGAAAAAATCAGCGCAGGCAACAAATAACATTAAATTTGAGGTAAAGTCCGTGTCAATCAGTCATGTCATGTCATTGCAGCCCCTCCCCCTCCCCCATGTGGGGGACTGCAATGAATACTAATGTGAATTATCATCATTATACCTTAAAAATCCCAAGTTATAGAGTAGCTTTTCAGCTCTGCACCTAGTTTGTGTGCACTCTATGCTGCCATGAATTAGTGGAGGATTCTTTGTTTCCTTGATGTGAATTATCATTGTTTTCATTGTGGGTTATAATATTAACTTTATTTAACCCCACATTTTCCCTGGAACCTTTCATGCCCTCCCCTGCTATTGGGGCCAAGTTTGTCGCTAACAGGAGATTTCTGCGCAATAAAAACTACATACCCGCATTGTGGACGTTGCTAGGAATCCAACGATACCAAAATCATCGATGTCTGACCAGCAGACGTAATATAGAAAATTACCTCAAAAGGAGTTATGAAACCAAACTAGAAGCTGTGCTGCTCAAAAGGTGTCCATATCGTCTACCTGCCAAAATCTGGATCAACGATCCTTCTAACTAGCCTTACACTGAATATCCTACATCAACATCTATTTGATCAATACACCAGGTTATAAAAATGTTTAAGAATTATTGATTTTCTGATAGCATAATTTGTTACAGTAATCTATAAATTTTAGCTACATAGGGTACTTTTGTGTGAAATCAGCACCATAATATTCACCAGATTCCTTATGAAATGCCAAGTGCTTATTGTTAGGTGTGGTTGCTATGTGTTACCAAATCAGTCAATACCAGTTTCTTTTTGTGTCTTTTGTAATCATAAATAATCCTGGTATTCTTAGTTTTGGTACGAGTACATAATCTGTTTTATTACACTGATTTTTAAATTGATTTCTGTATGGTGCCACTCTGATTAATTACCAAAATTGTCCTTAATACTTAACCCCTCTAATACAATAACAGTCGGTCGATGCCAAACAAGTATTAAAAAATCGACCCCATACTTAGGCCGATATATTGGCTAACTTACTTGGACTTTCCCACTGCACTGTCACCAAGACATATTACTTTGACTGCTAATTCTCCCTTTTTGGTTTTCTGGTCATAATCCAACTTGGTATCCTCTCCACATGCGTCTTTCTCTTGGTTAACCTCCTCCGACATGTTGACAACAAACAGCTGATTCTGGAATGTTTACAAAAGCGGTGACGCGTTCGAGGACCGCGCTGAAATGTTGCGTTCGAGTGTAGATGTTAAAGAATTCTGCAACTAATACATTGACATTTAATGAAAGTTATTTGTTGCTGTTTCTTTGTTTAATACGTATATCATATATATTCAACTTTTTATTAAATCAATATCAAAACGTACGTAGAGCTTGTTTAATTTGATATATCTCAGCTCTCCATATTTCTGCCCATAAAGCCATTTACATAAACGTACGTAAATATGTATTTAAGTATGTATGAGAGTATGTGTATGTGAGTATGTATGTACGTATGAGAGTATGAGTGTATGTGAGTATGCATGTATGTATGAGAGTATGTGTGTGTGTATGTGTGTATGTGTGTATGTGTGTATGTATGTACAATATGTCTACATGTGCATTCGGCAAAATGAGTTCACAAGGATGCATCAACTACAGCAGTATATCATAGTATGTTCTCTGCTAAATAAGATTAACTTGTGACAAGCCACTGCAAAGAGGTCCATACGGATACAAATAATAAAATTGGACCATAAACTATCATAAACGGATAAATATTAGATTACAATTACAGCGCGTAGGATCAGAGTCTGGTGGTTATAAGATTCCCAATGTTACTTAATTGGTGATTATATGATTCCCTGTGTTTTTTCTTGTTTACTGCATGCCTAAAACAATATGCAATAAAAACATTAGTAAGCCGACATTGAAACATTCAACAGTATAAAATACACCCGCCTCACTTTATAGAAAACGTATTCGACGTATAACAAGAAAACGCAACATTCAACCTATAAACTTGATTTATCTAAATATTATACGATTATTCGTAGTACGTGTGTTGTAGGGCTGAAGATTTAAAGTCATTATATGGGACATAGCTCTACCTTTGGTGATGCCCAGCGCTCGGTCTGCCACATCATATCAGTTCATACCAGGATGGTTTCAGCAATTTTCATGTTTTATTTATTTGAACATGGGCAAATATCTAAATATTCTTTTACACACTCTTCTTTTACATCAAACCATCTGTAGTCACACAAAATAACAAAAATACGGCCTTCGGAAAAATCGGTCTTCTTTTGTTTCCGTTTAGCAGACGAATTTCCGTTGAATTCCAGTCGGCAAGCATCCAGTTGCTGTCCTTACACGGCTCTTGTCTTCTGTGCTCATTTACTTATTCCTGTCCTTCTCTCGTTCAGTTAAAAGTGATCGGAACATATGACGACTACCTGCTATTACTCGCCTTTTCAATATGAACAGGTAAATGGAGTTTGAAAAGAAAAAAAAGAAGGCGCCTTCGGAAATAACAGGTAAAAGAATGGCTCCTGACTTGAAATATTAATTCCATATTCTTCTCTGCATGGGTATACTATACGAAAACATACGAATCTTGCTACCGCCATTTATTTAAGGTTTACCCCATGAATATTCTGTTCCGTAT